TGGTTCAGGGAAAGCTTCCAGCATCCGGAAAGCAAACAGATTCTAGACATTCTGACTAATCCCACATTAACATTTGGATCTTGGGAAAATCATTCCCCTTGAAATTCTAATAAATCACCAGCAACCATCACTTAGCATCTGTAAGCACTGATCTTTCTGTATTCTTCAGGATATTCCTGAATAAAACTGTTAAAGAAGCACGCATAACCAGAGACCTCTTCCGGAAAGAGAAGAGCACCCAACCTCCAGAAAGCTCCAAAGTTCCAAAGGGCAGATGTGTACTAATAGGCACATGAGCCCAGTCCTGTGCTGGATGATGTACTACATCATCTGATTTAATCCTTATGCCCAGTCAGCAACTGCTTTCCCATTTTCCTAATAAGGAAATACATTCAGAGAAGCTAAGTTTAACTCATTTGTCCAACATGTATTAAGCACCTACTTCATATGTGCCAATTACTTTGCTAGGAACTAGGATACAATGGTGAACAAAACCAAACATGACTCCTGCCTCATGGAGCTTATAGTCTAGTGGGAGGGGGAGTTAGTCAAAGAATCCTACACACACACACACACACACACACACACACACAAAGGAAAGGGCCATACCTCCATGAGAACTAAAGAGACTAGACAACTATTACAGTGACAATAGATATGGACACAAGGGCACTGCCCACAGCAATGTTGTAAGCTGATGAAACTAAGATTAAACCTTATTCTGTCTGATGTCACAGCCCGTGTTTCTCTTACCTTTCCATTTATTTCTTCATTCAGCAATTTGCTATGAATCATCTACTTACTAGTGCCATGCCTATTATATGCTAGGGATGCAGCCATGAACAAAAGCAACATTGCTCACATGGAATTTATGATCTATATGTTAAACAAATAAGATTACAAACAGATGTACACAATGAAAAATTGGGATGAATGCTATGAAGAATCAATTTTAATAGGTAAAATTATCTACGGAGATCTTCCAAACTGTTAACAGCCTGAAAAAGCCACTTGCCTACCACAATGAGTGAAAAAGACTTTAGGAAACTTGGCCCCATCAAGATGTAGAAATTGGAGCTGGGACTGTAGCTCAGTGATAGAGCACTTGCCTTGCCCATGTGAGGCACTGGGTTCAATCCTCAGCACCACATAAAAAAAAAAAGTAAATAAACAAAGATAGTGGGTCCATTTACAATTAAAAAAAAAAAAAAAAAGATGTGGAAACTGTCACATCCCCTAGCCAGCTTATGAGCCATCGGGGCAGAAGATAGTATGTCTCAAATTCAGCACAGATCTCGCTGGGATAGAATTCCTTCTATAAGCAGCTACTGACTCCAGAATGCACTCACATATCCTAATCTCAGGCAATTGTGCATTTTACAATTAATTGGGATCTTTCACACAGATTCATTTGAACCTCACAACAACCCTATGCAGAATACAGGTAGGTTTTAATATTCTACTTAAAAGATGAGAAAACTGAGGCCTAGACAGGTGATGTGACTTAATCAAGGTCACCAAAATAGGAAAGGACCAGATCTGCCATTCAACTCTCACTAGAAGCACCACTAGCCAGGAAATCATGAATCTCAAATGATACAGCTGCAGGTCACTGAGCCTGGATAGTCACCCAGGAGTCCCATGAAGTTCTTGAGAACAATGATCAGGATTATCAAGCAGCTTGAGAAAGGTTTCTAGAATGCGGTTCCACCAGCCTGAGACACAGGTACCCTTGCCAACTCTCCCAGATTAGAACAGGTTCTCTTGGACTCTTTCCAAGCGGCTGTGACTAACAGAAAAGTATTTTTCCATTGTGAACACTGCAGGCAGACACCAGACTGAGAGGGGAGCAGAGAGCACATCCCAGATTCCCATACTGTCTGTAAAGCTATCTGATACCATGTGAACTGCCCTAGTTAAGCACCTACCACTAGGGATATTATGTCAATCTTGGACAGAATTAACATTTGGGACTAGATAATTTTTTTGTTATAGGAGTAGAGGGACTAGGTTTGCATTATAAGATGTTTAATAGTAGCCTTGGCCTCTGTTCACTGGATACCAATAGCAACCCCCAGTTGTGACAATCACAAATGTCTCCAGCCACTGCAATGTCTCAACCTCTGGTTGAGAAACACTGGTATAGACCCTATGGAGAAGGGGAAAAGCAAAGTGCTCTCCCTTTTCCTCATCCTATCCCATTCCATCTTTCTAGCCAGATATATGGTCACTATCCACAAACTCTTTTATTCTCAGTATCACACAGCCAGCGTTTCTCAGACAGATAAGAATAGCTATGTGCTCTTACAGCCTACAAGTACATCCCAGGAATAATTTGCCACTGGAGCTTATGAAAACAACCAGAGTCAAATAATTCCTTGTTCCACTAATGAGCTGCTTCTGACCCTGCAAGGAAATCTTGTTCCCATTAATGTGAGCAGCTGAGTCTGATTAAATGGAAGCCCTGGGTGTTTCTTCTCAATGACATCAGGCCAGGGCAAGGGCTTCCACTGCTAGAAGAAACACAAAATTGGTGAATCAAATAGTAGGAGACTCCCATTTAACCAAAATTTAGTACAACAATCAGGACACTCAAACATTCCCAGCTTTTAACCATTATGGACTCAAAAGAAAGGGGAATGTGGCAATGTACATAAACAAATGAACTAAATTAACAAGTTAATTAAACAGCGGAAATGTTACCAAAAATCATGTTCTCAATTGGAGGTGGAAACCTTAAGCTGAGCTCCAAAGCAACTGGAATGACTCAGACAGTGTCAGGGATATGGGTTCCAACCTCCCACTCCAAGGGCTGGGCTGCTGACCCAGACATGGGAATCAACATCAGTTACAGAACTTGAAAAAAAAAAAACAAAAAAAAAACCTTTATGTCTTTCATTAGTCTACTTCCTAACTCGTTAAAGGGTATACTGACAGACTCAACTAAACTTACTACCATTTGATAGTAAGTATAGTGTACTGCACTGTGACTCTTTGAAGACTAAACATGAAATACCTACCTGTTAACACCTAATTACTCAGACTATGGCTAGTTTTTGTCTCCTTTTGTATTTAGCAATATTGTTGCACATCATACTGGAAATGTGCTGAAATTTCATTAGAGGTCTGTCTCCCCTGGTAGACACCTTAAAGGCAATATTTACATCTAATACCAAGTATGGCACATCAACATAATCACTATTTGTAGGGTGGATGGAAAAGTTGTCCATCTCCATATTCTTAGACTTAAGTCTATCTACAAATTCTCGAGAGAAGGCATAGCCCATGTCTTTCTCCTCATTTCTCCAAGTCTTATTACATTGCTTAATAGGTGTCCAATACATATTAACTGCTTTGGTTGAGATCCTGAATCCAAAGAGACAAACTGAAGCCTTCTGTTCAAGAACCAGTGAGTCCCAGGAAAGAGATCAGAAATCCTAGCTGTCTATCCTGCCTTAAATGTATTTGAATGTTTAGTCTCTTTTAAACTGGAAACAGTCTGACAAAGGAAAAACAACTACATTCTCAGATAGGCAGTGGAGTCACAGAAGTGAATAAAAGCAATATGGTAGCTCCACAGAGCTTACTGACTGAAGGAAAAAAAAAATTCATATCAGCAGGCATACAAATAAGCAGTTACTATGCTCAATGTCTCTTCAAGCAAAGCTTCTCTAGATGAGCCCAATCTTTAAGCAGTCTGAACTTCTCTGAGACATAATCTTCCTCCAAATGAACAATACATTTTCCTTCAAGCATTTTCTGAAGTGGTAATATGAAAATTTTACTATATACATTTGTTATACAGCCTTTATTCCAGAATGATCATAAAACTTTTTAAATATCAATTAAAAGCATCACAGAAATGAATGCTTACAAGTCTGTTTGTGTATACAAATGTGTAGTATGTGTGACTTACTAAAAAAAGAAGAAGCTGACTGAAAACCTTCAAGAACCAGAAACTCCTAGAATAATAGTCACTATGCATTTGGGAGTCTAGAGGTAGGCGAATTGCTAGCAAAGCAGACAAGAGCAGGCCAGGGAACCCCTGAAGTTCAGAAGGCCTTTACATGACAATAGACCCAAGAATTATAAACTGTCTGTCCAAGGAATTGTGTATAAGTCAGCAGGAACTCTTAGACAGCAGGGATGAACAGAAGCCATAAAACACAAAGTCCAAGAACAAAGTCAGGGATATGAAGGCCACGAAAGAGCTCCCCTAAGGGAAAGATGAGAAACAGATGAAGACTCAAAGAAAGATGAAGATGCCAAAAGCTGTATGGTATGATAGCATAGCATCTGAGGGTACAAGAGATGCCTGGATCAATTACATAGTTTATTAGGGTAAATACAATTTAAGTCAGAATATCATGTCAACTATTATTCAAAATTATGTTCCTGCCTCCATCTTTCCTTGAAATATTTACTTTGGCTGAACTTTTTTTTTTTTTTTTTAGGGGGGTATTACCAGGGATTGTTGAACCCACAGGCACTTAACTACTGAGCCACATTCCCCAACCCTTTTTATTTATTATTTTGAGACAGGGTCTTGCTAAGTTGCTTAAGGCCTCACTACATTACTGAGGCTGGCTTTGAATTTGCAATCCCCCTGCCTCAGCCTCCTGAGCCACTGGGATTATAGGTTTATGCCACTGCAACCAGCTTCTAATTCTTTTAATTTAGACTGAGGTGGAAATACAAAGGACTCCCCAACAACCTGGACAAATTTCTGGGTGATGCTTGCCTCAATGGATTCCTTTTTAAAACCTCACAGACTTTTGGGATCAGAAGTTAACCTAATCCAGTCTTTTTGGGTACAAAACTGTGATCCACAAAGGAAAAGCCATATATCTGGCTGATAGCAGAATTAGACCCCAGGATTTTCCCCTCCCAGTCCCTAAAGTTTTTCATGAACAAAAATCCTTAAACCCTAAGCATTCTTGCCTATTTAGACAGTCCTCCAGTAGCTCTTACCAATACCAAATTTTCTGCTGCATTCTCACCTGTCTGAGCAATCAGGTGTGTCCACCCACTCCAGATGGCAGTGACCTTCTCATTCTGAAAGCAATGTGCTTCTATTTTCTGGGGCACAGGAAGAAAAGCAGCCTGAGCAGCCAGTTGCCCATGCTTGTTACTTCCCCAAACATACAGCTCTCCTGCATCTTAAACAGAAGGGAAACAGAGATGAAGAAACATTATTTGAAAATTATGGAAAATAAGTCTAAAAAAATGGCTAAAAAATTGTGTTTTTTTTTTAACTTATAATGTTTAATGGAGCCAAGCAAATACAATGTACATGTATGGCATAATAAAATATAAGATATATGAAAATTCTACATATAGAAACAAAGTCAAATGTTCTTAAGATTTTAAGGAGTAAGAATGTATAGTTATTTTTCTTCATTCATTCACTCAACAAATATTCATTCCACATCTACCCTCTATGAGACGTACCTCTCTATTTTTTTTAATATATGCTCACATTTCCTTTGGGGGGAAAATTTTTTAACTTGTTACTAAAAAAATAATAAGTTAAAAGACAAACTATTTCTATTTAAACTTTAGAAACATAGGATTATTTTCATTGTTTATCCTGTCCAGCAGAAAATATAAAGCTACCACATCACATCTGTGCAGCATTTCAACCTCATAATAATCTTGTGATATAAGCAGAAATTACTCCCATTGTGATTTAACAGAAAAAAATTCAGAGTCAAGTGACTCTGGCTTCTATTCCTGGATCCACTAACTAGCTATTGACCTTGGACAAATCACTGCCTCTCTAAAGCCTGTGTAGTGGAAAGGAGGGTAGTTGGTCCAGAAGGGCAGATAACATGACTGACGATGCTGGAACAAGAACAACTGGTGGCAACTGTGGTAAACCAGAAAGCACATGCCTGTCTAAAAGACATTCAAGTTCAAATATATCTTTTAGATGAAAGGTCAAACAAAATGAAGCCATGACTACTCAGTTGCTCTATAAGCTTTCTCAGCCCTAACACTTCAAGATTCTAAAACTGTACGAACCAATAGCACTAGCCATATGTGGCTACTGAACACTTGAAATGTGGGTAGTCCAAACTGAGATATCTTAGAAGTAAAAAAATACAGAGTGAACTGCAAAAACTTGGTGCAAAAGGGAAGTGTACCTCATTAATAATTTTAATATTGATTACACACTGAAATACTATTTTGAATATACTGAGTTAAAGTACATATAATATTAAAGTTCATTTCCAACTGTTTCTTTTTACTTTTTGAAATGTGGCTCACATTTTATTTCTATCAGACAGCACTGTTCTAGAAGATAAGTTAATCAAACCTGGAAGATGTTAAATGACTTTTCAAGCTCACATGGTTAATAAGAACTCATAGTCAATAAGGGAACTAAAAACCAACTCAGCTTCCACTGCATTTTGTGACCTGCCAATAATATTACTTGCCCTGGGGCTGCTGATATATTCTAAAAACTAATCAAAAGCCAAAGAGTAGCATGAAAGGACACTAGAGCAGGGCTCAGAGGTCTCTAGTTCAAGTGCCATCTACTATTTGGTCACTATTTGACACTGAGCACTTCACTCCACATTCTGGGACTCTGTTTCCTCAATTCTAAATGGCAGAATGTAAATCATTGAAGCCTTTTTGCCACCCAGGAAACCCTGCAGCACTGATATTCTGCAGTTTTTTGAAGTGAATTTGGTATACTTCATTCTCAGAGAAAGGGCAACCTCCCTGGACTTCATCAAGGTGTATGAAGTATGAGAATCCCATATAAGAAGGCAAAGAAGGCCCCTCAGCAAAATACCAATCCATTAAGTAAACTGGTGAGCTATGAAGATGCCACTGGTGATAAAGCACAATTTGTATTAAGCCTTAATCTATCTTAGTTCATCTAACATCTTTTTGAAAGACAAAGTGACTTCCACATGAGGATCATTACACTGTTGCATCAGCAGGTAAAATTAAATTCTGCTGCAATGCCAAAGAGTTACACAATCTACAAGGACTCCAGAAAAACGGTCTAAAGAGCACTGAACAAAATCCAATGTGTTAACGGCTTGAACTAGATGAGAAAGGAGGATTATTAATCTTGTCAGTTTTTTAAAACATTTATTTTTTAGGTGTAGATGGACACAACACAATGCCTTTATTTTTATGTGGTGCTGAGCATCGAACCCAGGTCCCACCCTAGGCGAGCACTCTACCGCTGAGCCACAATCCCAGCCCTTGACAATTTTTAAATCACTTTCAAAATACTGAAAACCAATTCAGTTTGTGAATATACTAAAAATGACTAAATAGACACTTCAAAATGGTCAATGTCATGATTAAAATCTCAAAAAATATTCAAAGTTTAGATGTATAAAAAATACCATAGGAACAGTGCCACATATGAAATAATTTACTAATCACAAGACTTTTTAAGAAATCAACATTAGCAGTAGATCAGACAATTTCTATGGTGTATATATATCAGCCATTTCAAATTGTTTAGAACACAGGAGAAATGTCTGCCTCAGTCTACTTTTACACTCAGAGAGAAGCTCCCCCTCCCTCATTGACTGTAGGCTTGAACAACTCACTTCTCATCTTGGAGTCTCCAATTCTTCCTCTGTAAAAGGAGAAGTGAAACCAGGTGCCCAGAAGTGTTGCTTACACTTAGCATTCATTTCAACTTAACACTTTGACAAACAAAAATCTAGCTAATGTGAGTCGCACACTAAAAGTAGATGTTTCTTTTGTTACTTTTTGTTTTAAACTCATTAAGCAACTAATTATGCATAGCTCAGAATTTTTGAAGTATTTAAACTCTCTCACTATGACTCTGATGCTCTGGAAACAACAGGAGCGTCCAGTTGGACAACACTGTAAATTTGATATGAGAGAATGCATGCCACCATTAATTTACCATTAATACACACCTGAGTTTCCACATAAAACACAAAGAACACTAAGTATGAATGTCCCTCCTTTTGCTTAAAAATGAAATGCATTCAATTATGAGTGGTCTTAAAAAAAAATATTAAATCTCTGAGAGGTGCAGCCTCCAGTCTAGCCCTACCAGCAGAGAATAGGACAATATGAATCAAAACAAAAGGATAACTGCTGCCTAGAAAACAATGCATTGCCTCCTAAGGAAAGTCACTAGAAAGTTCATACTATGTTTGATGAGCATGTCCAATGGATGGGTGGACACATAGCCAGATAGAAAACTACAGTGCGAGAGAAAAAAATATATTAGATAGAAAAATGGATAGATGGAAAAGATAGAAATAAAGGGATGAAATAGGAAAATACATAATAATATAAAGCAGATCAGAGAATAAAACTTGTAGGCTTATTTATATATAGGTACATTTAGTTAAAGAATAGATGAAAGAAAAAAATATATATATATATGTAAGTTAACAAAATAAAGAAAACAGAGATAAACAAATTAAAAAGATATAGATGAATAAAATAGGTTAGTCGGAGATTAAACAGCTAGAAAGTATAGAAAGGTAGCATTTAGTTATATTAGACATAGAAATGGATTAGGTAACCCCTTCACTGAGCAACTATGATTATATATAAATTTACTGTTCATTATATGATTTAACCATTGCAATTACCCTGAGAAGATATTCTCATCCTTCTTGTGTAATTGAGAAAGCAAACTCAGAAGAAAATGAAGTAAGCCTATGTTTGATGTGAGTGCTTAACATTATCATATTTAATTTTCATAATTACCCACAAAGTATTTTATAGATAAGGAAATGGACAAAAAATGGTAAAATAATCTGCATAAGATTATACCAGTGGGGGCATCAGAATTCTGGCTTTAAATCTATTACGTTCCCTCTGTATCCAAATATCAACACTCTAGGCCATCACTCACAAAGTTCTGAATGGCATATTAAACTGTGAAAGAGCTGGTACCTACCTGTTAATGAAGCTGAGTGGTCTGAGCCAGCAAGAACACATATTGCTTTAGAATTCTCTAGGCCTACAAAAAAAAAAAAAAAATTTTTTTTTCTTTTGAATTATGTTGATAACAGAACAAACTGGTTGGAGGAGGGACCGTGAGCCATCACCACCTAGGTGTGAGGAGAAACTCAGCCAGCACAGGCAGGTGTGAGTCAGCAGCACTGGCCAAGAAGATGGCTGCATTGGGGGGGGGGGGGGGAACTGGAACCTACTAGGGAGTGAAATAGAGAAGTAAATATATTGAGAATAAAGAAGACAGGTTCCTCAATACCAGAGAGGAAAGGAAGGTTCAAATGTGAAAAGTGGGAAAGCTAGAAACAAGCTTCTGGTATTAGTTGGTAATAGAAAAATCAGTGTAAATTCATGGTTTCTAGAAATAGATAGATTTGTGTGTGTGTGTGTGTGTGTGTGTGTGTGTGTGTGTGTGTGTGTGTGTATTTCCTAGCTCTGTCTGCTGTGTGAGAAGCAATGACATCTCATACATTCAGCTACTATCATATGCAGGATGTAAATACAAACACAGACCTCCTCAAGACACGGAGATAGAACCAGAACTTGAACTAGACTTCCATCTCCAAATCCAGTATTTTTCCTTCCTTAATTCCACTGCCTTTACTGACAAGGTAGAATCCCAATCAACCCTGCTAGAAATTGGGAAAACCTGTAGAAACATGTGATTTAGCATGCAAATAAATGCAGTCTATTCCATAACTCTATTTCTGATGCTTCTGTTTAATTAGTATCTTCATAAAAGACTTCTTCAGGTATCCTGTGGAATGATAATAAGACATTTCCAGCCACATTCACCAGAGAGGAAACCTGGGCTACTAGTAGCAAATTGAAGACGAGACAGTAAAGGATCTAGCTCCAGAATCTGTGAAAACAGGGTGATGGGAGAATGAAGAGTGAAAGACTTTGAGGGCAGGAAGTTAATTTTCATTCTAATTTTTCATCAGAAAACTTCCCCAAATCAACTCTCAATCTAAACTGTTACTCCAAGCAAACCTTAAATAGGTTAAGTTAAATCAAATAAACAACTTTTACTCCTTCTAGTTACTGGTCCTGTGGTAATACAGAAGAATGCCACATAGTTCTTGACCCTTAAATGCATATAACCCTTGGCATATGAAAAAACATATAAACAATCCCTGTCTATGAAGAAAATGCAATGGATGCTAAAAGAGGAAAGATTCTTTACTGAGAAATCTGTATCTCAGCTAGGCCTTGAAAAATTCTTGAAATTTTCCCAAAAGGAGCATGAAGGAAAGGTATTTCAGGTAGAGGAAACAGTGTGCCCATAGGCTTGGAGGTCATGAGAAAGCAGGGAATACCTAGGGAGCAGTGAACACCTTGATGAAAAAAGAAAAGGGTTTGGGAAGGGTTGAGCACACCCTCCCAACTGAACCTGTTGGCATCAGAAATCTAACCCCAGCTCCAGCTGAGAGACACTCTAGAACTTATAAAAATCAGAATGATCCCAACACTCAGGTACATCACTCCCACAGCAGCTCCCCTTTCCTATTCTTTCCACATACATTTCCACCACCCTCAAAAATCCCTCCTTTGTTCAGGTCTCTTGCAGAGGTTTTCCTACAACCAATCCGAAGTAAACAGAGTCACAAAAGTCAGAAGAGGAGATAGAAACGTGGTGCTAAATACAGAGAGACAAAGGCCCACAAAGAGAATAGAAAACAGAGAATAAGAGCTCAAAGAGAGAGGCGGGAAAAGAGGGAAGGAAGGAGGCTGAGGAGGAGAAGCCTCTATAGACCAAATGACCAACAGAAGATCAACCAACAGACCTATGAGCAAAAGGAACACTTATTACCTACTCCTCGTATTTTCATGTAGAGAACTCCCTAAAGGGGCATTCCTGGTCCTCTCTACATCCTTGCTCACTCCTGCTTCCTTTTTGGGAGAAAAAACTAGGCATGTGAAAAGTAGCCCACAGTCCTTTTGAGGAAACAGTGCCTGGTAGATTAAGTTCAATCTAAAATTCAGAATTTACAGGCTCATTATAAAACTACTACAAGTAGTTTTTAACAGTTCTAGAGCTACCATTTTGATCTCCACCCTTTGATTCTCCATCTTTTGATCTCTGACTTACATCTATCTCTCCACAGGACCCAAATTCTGGCAGCCAAGAGGGTTACTTTTACTGGACCCACAAAAATCCCAACAAGACTAACATATCAACTAATAGAGAGAGTAAGATAGATAAAGAAAAAGCAAAAGTACAAAACCATTTACCCATTTTCTGCATGTCTATGTCTCTTACTTTCTCACAAAAAAATAAATAAGGGCCTCACCTGTAACTCTGCTTGGTTCCTTTGCTGTCAAAAATAATGGGAGAGTCTGCCTGAGGGATGACCGTCGTCCAGATGATGCCAAACCAGTCCCCCACTGGAACACGATGCCACTCACTTCCCAAAAGAGCAGAAGAGAAAATAAAGGAAATGTACATCAGGATAAGACCAAATTGCCTTTTGAACCTCACTACTATGGGAAATTCTGAATTCACTCTGTCAACCTGAGTATTATGGAGAAGCTCAATTGCATCAAGGGTTCCAATCACTGGTCACAGGGATTACTTCCAAATCAATCAAAATTCGAGTCGTCAGGGCAATCTAAGACTATCAAAGAGAAATTCAATATAGTAAAACTTATTAAAACTTATCCAAAAAATTCTAGGACACTCCTGAGTCAAATCACTACAATGTACCTTGCTCATGGTTAGCCTGAGAATATAACTCAGACTCTAAGCCAAATAGAAAGGACTTTGAAGATCATCAAGCTCATTCCTCATATCTACTAGATGAGAAAACTGAGACCTTAAGAGAGGATTGTGACTTGTGCAAGATCACATGGGGATCTTGTACCACAAAGAAAAAGCTAGGACTCAGCTCTCCTGACCCTTAAGGTAGTGTCCTTCCCAACACACCAAGATGAGTTCAAAGATTCTCCATTGCCAAAATAAATAAATATTTATGACTCTGAGACAGGTTAATAATCATGATTTCAATGGAGAGGGCTTTTATTATCCTGTCCACTGCATCTCATATTCTGAATACAAATACACACAAAAAAAATCCATGTATTTGGCCTACACTCAGATGTGTGCAATTGTACCTATAATCCAACACCAGCATTGAGGTCTATTCCTCTGGAAGCATACTATAACCAGTGGTCCCTTGGGCAGTAAACAGATAAGTTTGCTTAATGAAAAAATAAAGTATAGGCACAATATAAACAAAGCACAAATTTATGTAAAATAAAACTTAAAAATCCCCTCAACAAATAAATTTCAAAGAGAAAAAAACTACATAATAAAAGGATTTTCAGATAAATGATAAAGAATTAATATCCACAATATATATATGGAACTCCAAAAAGTCAATCAAAAACAAACCAAAACCCAATTTTTAAATAGTCAAAGAACTTGAATAGACATTTCTCCAAGAAGATACATTAATGGCCAATTAAACACAAGAAAAAATGCTCAACATCACTAATCATTAAGGAAATGCAAATCAAAACCAAAATGAGAAACTACCTCACACCATTTGGATGATATATCTAACAAAACAAAAATCCCAGAAAATAACAAGTGTTAGTGAATCTGTGAGAACCTTTGTGCATTGTTGGTGGGAATGTAAAATAATGTGACTGCTATGGAAAACAGTACAACAGTACCTCAAAAAATGAAAAAATAGAATTACCATGTTACCCAGCAATTCTGCTTCCAGGTATACATCCAAAAGAATTGAAAGTAGGATCTTGAAGAGGCATTTGAGCACTCATGTTCATACCAGCATTATTCACAATAACTAAAACATGGAAGCAACTCAAGCGCACTTTGACAGATGAATGGATACACACACACACAAACACACAACAATAGAGTATTATCAACCTTAAAAAGTACAGAAATGTTCCTGGGCATGGTGGTGCACATCTGTAATCCCAGCAACTGGGGAGGCTGAGCTAGGAAGATCACAAGTTCAAAGTCAGCCTCAGGAACTTAGCAAGGCTCTAAGCAACTTAGCAAGACCTATTCCATATAAATAAAAAATAAAAAGGGCTTGGGATGTAACTCTGAGGTTAAGCGGCCCTGAGTTCAATCCATAGTTCAAAAAAAAAAAAAAAATGTTGACATGCTATCATGCTATTCCATGGATGAACCTTGAGAACCTTATATTAAGTAAGCCACTTACAAGAATAAATACTATATGATTACATTTATATGTGGCAAAGTATACATAGCATAAATGTTCAAAAGAAACAAATACATTTTAAAAGAGATTTGAAATATATATCAACCAATTATAATATACGGACTTAATAGATCCCAATTTAAAAAACCATAAAAACATGTTATAGAAAAATTTAAATCCCAACAGGATTCTTACTGATATTACAATTATTTTTTTTTTAGGTTTGATGAAGGCAGTACAGCAACATTTTCAAAAAGAGTACTTACTTATCTTTTAGAAATACACGCAGAAATATTTACAAATTAGATGGTGGTGGTGAAGAGGCCTCGACAGAATGAATAAGTAGTAGCAATTATATTCATCAATGTTTTGCAAGCCATCTGTATGATAAGGGGTTAATTTCTAAAATATAAGGAACTCTTTCAACTCAATAGCAAAAATTTTTAAAAGGACAAAGGAATTGAACAGACATTTCTCCAAAGAAGACATACAAATGACTAATAGGTATATGAAAAGACATTCAACATCATTCATGATCAGGAAAATGCAAATCAAAACTACAGTGAGACTTTACCTCATATCTGTAAGGAAAGCTATTATTTAAAAAAAAAAAACTGTTGGCGAGGACAGGAAGAGACTAGAGCCTAATATACTGTTATTATGAATGAAAAACGGTGCAAATGTAACAAAAAAAAAAAAACAATATAATAGTTCCTCAAAACATTAAAAACAGAACTATCATATGATTTAGGGATCCCATTTCTGGCTAAATAATCAAAAGAACTGGAATCAGGATCTTGGAGAAATAGCTGTACTCTCATGTTCTTTACAGCATTGCATACAAAAGCCAAGATATGAAAACAACCAAAGCAGCCGTCAACAGATGAGTGGATAGAGAAAGTGGCAGTATATACATACAATGAAATATCATTCAGCCTTAACAAAAAGAAGGAAATCCTGTCATTTGTTTCAATGTGAATGAATCTGGATGATATTATTCAGATACAGAATGAATGCTGCATGATACTATGTATATGAGGAATCTGTGATAGCCAAATTCATAGAAGCATAAAGAACAATAGTAGTCAGCGGGGCAAGGAGTGCAGAAGAAATAGAGAGTTGTTGTTCAAGGGTATATAGCATCAGCTATGCTAGATGACTCTGCTGTGCAACAGTGCCTGTAGTTAACAATACAGTAAAGGGCACTTCAACATTTGCTAAGAATGTAAGTTTCACGTTAAGTGTTTTTGACACATACACACACACACACACACACACACACACACAAACACACATGCACAAACAAAACAAAGGGCATCAAGGAAACTTTGAGAGGTACTGGATATATCTATGACCTTGATAGTAGTGATGTATTCACAGTTATTTGCACATATCCAAATCCATCAAGTTGTACACATTATATATGAATAACAACTGTAGCCCAATAAAGCTGTTTTTTAAAAATGTAAAGACTAGCAATTACAGAAAGTTGGTACAAAAGAGGGAAGAAATTTACTGACAGGCAATTCTCTTGCCCTGATGATTTCTAAGAGAAGAATCTACTTATAAAAGTGTAACCACCGCCATACAACTCAGCAATCATACTGCTGGGCATGTACTTCAGAGAAAAGAAAATTTATGTTCATATAAAACCTGTCCACAAATGCATATACTAGCGCTATTCTTAATAGCTCAAAACTGCAAATAACCCAGATGTTCTTCAATGAGTGATTGATTTAACAGTTATTGTTATAGACTGAACTGTGTCCCTCCAAAATCCAGATGTTAAATCCCTAATGCCCAACGTGACTATATTTGGAGAGAGGACCCAAAGGAGAAAATAAAAGTTAAATGATATCATATGGGAAGCCCTAATCCAGTAGGACTGGTGGTTTTATAAAAAAGGGAAAGAGACACTGGAAATCTCTTCTTTGCACAAGTTCACAGAGGAAAGATGCTATGAGGAAACAGCAAGAAGGTGGCCATCAACAAGCCAGAAAGCGATGCGTCCCCAGAAACCAATTCTAGCAGCATGTTGATGTTGGACTTTGAGTCTCCATAATGGTGAGAAAATAAATTTATGTTGTTTAAAGCCCCCAGTCTGTGGCATTTTTGACAGCATCCCTGGAAGACTATTATAGTGAGTGATACATTCATACTATGGAATACTACTCAGCAATAAAAAAGAGTGAATTATTGGTACACATAACTTTGAAGAATCTCCAGGGAACTGTACTGATTGAAAAAAGTCAACCTCAAAAAGGATTAGACACTATATGATACCATTTATACAACATTTTTAAAATGAAAACATTATAAAGATGGAAAATAGAAGAGTACTCGTCAAGGACTAAGAAGGAAATGGGGACAGGCAGGAAGCGCATGTGGCAGTAAAAGGGCAACATCAGAGACCCTTATGAGGATGGAATTGTTCTGTGTCTTGACTGTATCAATGTTGATATACTAGCTGAGTATACACTATGATTTTGTAAAATGTTACCATTGGGGAAAACTAGAAGAACAACACATAAGGTTTATTTCATTTTTTATAATTGCATATAAATCTACAATTATCAATATACATAATTTTAATCTTTTTGAAAAATATAAGATCAAGGTTAAGCTGTAGGAGATGATCAGTACAGTGCTGCACTGAATTTTCCTTCCTCACCTTCTCTTCTCTCCACTCTACAACTGGACAACGCACAGAAGCTTGTCTGCCACCACTAATTAGTATTGTGCATAAGGACAAAAGGAATGTGACCAGAAAAATAAAAGAGAAAAGGACAAAGGGTCACTGTTCTCCCACCCATCCCTGAATTTCAAATTCTCTCTCCTTCCTAGTTTCTCTCCTGAAAATATGCTCTGAGGCTGGGGCTGTAGCTCACAGTGGCAGAGTACTTGCCTAGCATGTGTGAGGTACTGAGTTTGATCCTTAGCACCCCTTAAAAATAAACAAATAAAAATAAAGGTATATTGTTAATCTACAATTATCAAAAAAAAATTTAATATGCTCTGGTTGCTCTTTTTTAATTATTTATTTTTTGGTTTTAATTGGACACAATACCTTTATTGTATTTATTATGTGGCACTGAGGATTGAACTCAGGGCCTCACACATGCTAGGCGAGCACTCCACCACTGAGCCACAACCCCAGTCCGAGCTCTCTCTTTTTTAAAGGAACTGTATATGCATTAATCACTGCATTTGTAAACTTTAGGACTCCTAGGGAAAAAACTGACTCTATTTACCTTTATGCCCAGGGTCTAAGCAAAATCCACATGCTGTCTCCCTTCTCCATCTCACTTACATACAGTCTTTATCACCCACTCATGATACAGGAAACAAGTTCATGTCAAGCTTTGAAATTAATACATATTAAAATCTGCTAGGAAGGCAACGCAGTTCCCTGAGAAGACCATGTGACTTGGAATTTCAACCATCTCAGACTCTGATCCCAGCTCTACCTCTTCCCATCTTACCACACATAACCTTACACGAGCACTTTAACCTCTCTGGGCCTCAGTTTTGTCACATGTAAAAACTCAACTCATATCTCTTCCTGGTTGTAATGATTAAATGAATCAAATCAAGAAAAATTTAAAACCATAGCTAGAATTTAAAAAATTTTTTTTCCTTCCTTCCTCCTACTATAGGCTTTCCTACATGACTTCTGCCCTACATTCCCTCCTTTTAATCAGAACTACAACAGGTGAGGACTCTTTGAAAAACTCCTTAAAGCTTTTTCTCCTAAAGCTCAGTTCCTCCTTACTAACAGGCATTTAGAAAATAAAGGCAAAATGATCACCTGTAGCAGCTAATGCATGCCTCAGTCCAGCAGCAACACAAACAACCTTTTCCCTCAGGAGCTGTCAAAACAAAGAAAAGGACTTAGATCATCCATCTACAGAATTGTATGTATTTTATACCCAAATACAATGCAGTATGGTCTTCAATATGTGTCTGGCTGCGTTAGCCTTCTGCCAACAATTCTACCCATAAATACTTCTATATTTATCCTTAAAAGAAAAAAACACTTTAAAAATATGTCACAATGCCTCATAGGGCTGGGAGAGACCTTCAAGGTCATCCAGTCCAGGGATTAGTAAATGTTTCCTAAAAGGACTAGATAGTATATATTTTAGACTTTACAGGTCACATGGTTCCTGTTGCACAATTCTGCTCTGATACTATAATGAAAACAGCTATAGAATATACAAAAATGAATGGGCACAGCTATGTTCTAGTTTTCCCACTTCTGATTTAGTCCAATCCCTCTCCAATGCTAGAAACTCCTCCAGCAGGTGGTCATCCAACCCCTGCCCAACACCAACCTCCAGTGACACAGGGCTCACAACCTCCCCAGGTGCCTGTTCCATCTCTGCAGAGTTTCATTTCTCTCTTTCAGTGGAGCCAAATCTATCTGCCTGTAGCTTCTGACAATGCTTTCCAAATATTTGAAGGCAGTTGTCATGTCCTCTCTAAGACATCTTGTGGTGGTTTTAAAAATAGGTCCTCAAATTCTTTGATACTACTCACTTCAAGATGTAGAGCTTAATTCCCCTCCCCTGTGTGGGCTGGACTTAGTGACACACTTCTAATAAAAAGAATAAGGAAGAGATAAGTGACTCAGAGATGAAGTGATAAAAGGCAGGGAGACTTCCTGCCTGGCATCTCCAGCTCTCAAATCACTCTTGGGAGAAGCCTCCCTACCATGTCTGAATAGTCTTTTAGAGAGGCCCACATGGCTGGAACTGAAGCCTCCTGCCAACAGCCCTATGAGACAGCTAGAAATGGGTTTGCCAGCCAGTTTCTCCTTCAGAGACCGTGTATACACCAGCTGATATTGACTGACACCTCGAGAAAAACCAGCTGGTGGTTCCTTGATTCCTGACTCTCAAAACAATGGAATAATGATTATTGTTTTAGGGTGCTGGGTTTGGGGGTAATTTGCTATGTAACAATGAATAACTAATGTAGATATCTTCTTTAGGCAAAATATCCCCAGTTCCACCAGCTATCATTGAGCTTCAAATTCTCTCTCCCTCCTGGTTTCTCTCCTATAAATATGATTTGGTTGGCTCTATTTCTTTCTCTTAAAGGAATTGTAAATGCATCAATCACTTACCACAAGAAGCTTTAATCACTTTTGTTTATTTAAAGTCCATAATGTATTTCTTTGGGGACCTCAAGGGCAGAACCTGAGTCTTATATACCTCTGTGCCCACTACCTAAGCATCAAATCCACACAGAATACAACACCCAGAAGCAGTCTGATCAGCATAGAGGACAAAGCTCTGGCCTTCTTTATTCTGGAGACTTTACTATTTAAGTGGAGTTCCCAATCACATTAGCCTTGGAGAAGAGCAAATCTTCCTGCTGATAAAACTTGAATATACCTTCCTTTTAATTTTTCTTTCTGTCATCCAATATATTTTAACCATTGTTCCTCTGTCCTCTTTAATTATATTAATTATAATTAAACTAAATTAATTATGACTTATATGTAGGTTCTTACAAGGCCATCTACTTGCAATTGGGAGCTATAACATTTCCCACAGCAGGGAATATAGAGCCTAGACTTGTATGCATACTATGGGAACTATTACCCCCAAATAACACATCTCAGATCAAACTCAATTCAGCACGATGATAGGAGCAGGACTAAACTCTCTCCAAAGAAAAGAGATTTTCCACTCTTAAATAGCTTGGGTGGTGAACTTATTTTAGTTTTCAGCATATTTCTTTAAAAATACCATATTTATCTTGTGATCACATAAAATATAAACTTCACAAAAGTGTACATTTTAAGTTTGAGGCAGTGAAAAGAGCTCTGAACTAGGGTCAAGAGCTCTGTTTCAGCCAGGTTTGGTGGCACATGCCAGTAATCCCAGAAGCTTGGGAGGCTGAGGTAGAAGGATCTCAAGTTTCAGGCCAGCCTCAGCAACTAAACAAGGCTCTAAGTAACTTAGTCAGACCCTGTCTCAAAATAAAAAATAAAAAGGGCTTAGGATGAGGCTCAATGATTAAGCACCTGTGGGTTCAATCTCCAGCCAGATTAAAAACAAAGGTTAAAAAAAGAGAGAGAGAGAAGAGCCTGTTTCACACTGTACTATCTGATATATAAGTCACTAGCTACATGTAGGCAATGAACACTTGAAATGTGATTAGACTAAACTGAGACATACTCTAAATAAAAAATATACACCAAAGTTCATAGGCTTAGTTCAAAATAAAGAGTATACAATATCTCAAGTATAAATTTTATATTGGTGACACACTGAAATGATAATAACTTGGATGCACTGGATTAGTTTCAAAGTAATTAAAGTTAATTTCACCTGCATGCTGCAACATGGATAAAACTTGAAAACATCACATGAACAGAAAGAAGCTAGACACAAAAGGTCAAATATGGTACAATTACACTTATGTGAAACAACCAAAACAGACAAATGCATATAAAAATAGATTATTAGTCGCTAGGGACTGGGGGGACAGAAAAATGGAAAGTGACTGCTACTGAGTAGTTTCTTTAGATGGTGATGAAAATGTTCTAAAATTATTATATTATGGCAACAGCTGCTCATATCTAGAATACACTAAAAACCACTGAATTCTACATCTTAAAAGGGTAAATTTTATGATATATGTATTATAGCTCAATAAAGCTATTATTTAAAAATTAATTTTGTTTACTTTTTTAAACAAAGCTACTATAAATTTTTAAATTACATATGGGGTTAACATTATATTTCTATTGGATAGCACTAGCCTATAATGCTTAGCTTAATGTCTCTAGGCAAGTCATTTTTATCTTGAACCTCTCTCTCACATAATTCCCATTATTACTAATCTTGGAATTTTAAAATGTCATTATTATCCTTATGGGGTATATTAACTTTATTATTTTGGTTTATAAAACTTTATAATGTATATAAGGATTAACCAGAGGTGTGGGTTTTTTGCTCATAACATCAATTCCCCCCAAACTAATTTTTTCCCATAAATACTTATTTTCAGCTCAAATTCTGCTACTCCATGGATTTTTCTATGGGTAAGGATAACTGTAATAGACTGGAAACACTTTAACAGGACACAAGCAATATTAGATATCCTCACCTCTATGGCCTGGGGAACCACACATCTTCGAGGCCCATGAGGGACTCCTAACTGGCCAAAGGAATTGGATCCACATGATAGAACTTGACCATTTTCTGCAAAAATACAAATAAATAAATTGCAAATCTATAAAGTGAGACATGTGAACAATGGGTGAATACTAAAGTGTAAGAAATGCAAAAGCATGAAAAAACATAGAGATGCCAAGCTTCAGTACATTCAGAACCAATTCCCTGCTATTATTAATCTAGGAGTGAAAGTACGCGGCACTGGGCAAAGTGTTCTACATAGATTATTATTACACTCTGTCATTAATGGCAAATTATCTGTGCAGAACACAGGCTAGCACCTAGTACTAGAATGAGAAGGTACCTATTCCCTATTTTTCAGGTTTCCATGTGACAGCATTTCCATCACTGTCATGGTTTAAATATGAGATATCCACCAAAATCTCCTGTTAATACAGGAAAATTCAGAGGTTAAATGATTTAATTATGAAAGCTGTAACTTAATCAGTCCATCCTAGTTTGAATGACTGTGTGGTAACTGTAGGCAGACAGGCAAGACTAGAGGAGACAAGTCACTGGGGGCATTCCGTGGAAGGAGGTATGTTCCTTGTGGGTCCTTTCCTCTCCCTCTCCCTCCATACCCCTCTCTTTCTCTCTGTTTCCTGATCCCATCCTGAGCCAAGCAGTTTTCTTCTACTGGGCCTGGCACCCATGATGCACTGCCTTGCCTTAGGCCCAGGGCAATGAAGTCAGCTGACTAGGAACTGAGATCTCTCAAACCATTAACCCAAAATAAGCTTTTCCTCCTCTAAGTTATTATTTTCAAGTATTTTGGTCACAGAATAGAGAGTCTAATTGCCCATTTTCAGAATACAATATTTAGCCTTAAATATAAAATTACTTGAGATGAAAGAAAAGCAGCTAGAGGGGAGAGCAGAGTGGAAAGTTAAAAGCAGTTAACCAGAGTAGGACAAATTCACAGCTCCTTCCCCCTCACAAACAGGAAGTAGGGGGAAGGGGCCTAACCCACAAAGATAAATTATGTATGTGCCAAGATACATTCAACCCAAAAAGGCCTTCCTACCACAATAGAACAAAGGGAAGTGGAGACAACTAAAGGTACATTTCTTTAAATAACCCAACAGGCAACATTCAGGAAGACTGTACACCCCTTAGTACTCAACCAATGAGGAACTGGGGGAGGGGCATTGCACACTATGGAATAAAATGCTGATTGTAATAGCTCTGGGTGTGCTTTCTCACACAGACCTAATTTTGAAAGACTGTCATTAAAAGCCTTGTTTTCTCTATACCTCTTGTCTCTCAATCCATTCTCTGGGTTTGGACAGGTGAGTGTGTTTCTCACAACAGTGATATAAAATCAGTACCAAGAAGTGAGATCATTGCTATGACTAACATGACCATGTGGTTCAAAAGCCTCTGGAGCTGGTTTGCAGGAGAAATTTTGAAGCTTAGAGATGCAAGCTGGGGCTGGAATTGTGGCTCAATGGTAGAGTGCTTGCCTAGCACTTGTGAGGCACTAGATTCAATTCTCAGAACCGCATATAAATAAACAAAATAAAGGTCTATCAAAAACTGAAAAAAAAAAAACCAATTTTTTTTAAAAGATGAGCTGGACCCGGTGGTGCACACCTATAATCCCAGAGCTCAAGAGGCTGAGGCAAGAGGATAGCAAGTTCAAAGCCAGCCTCAGCAATGGCAAGGTACTAAGCAATTCAATGAGACTCTGTCTCTAAACAAAAAACAAAACAGGGTTGGGAGTGTGATTCAGTGGTTAAGAACCACACTGAGTTCAATCCTCGATACCCCTGGGGAACCACACATCTTCGAGGCCCATGAGGGACTCCTAACTGGCCAAAGGAATTGGCTCCACATGATAGAACTTGACCATTTTCTGCAAAAATACAAATAAATAAATTGCAAATCTATAAAGTGAGACATGTGAACAATGGGTGAATACTAA